GCTTAACCAATTGAGCTAACCGGGAGGATTACCTCTTTTTGCTGTTCTGACACATTTTCACTTGCATTCCATTAATCACATTCAAATCATGCTTCATTAGAGAGGGAAATTTCTTTTCAGGACTATTGCGTGCTATAGTTTGAATTTTCAACAAGCAATGTGACTGATAAGTAACAAATTACTCAGCAGTAATATGATTCTAGTCTCATTGATTCAGAAGTGAAGAAAACATGGAGGGAGTGCTTTGAAAACATACCTAAGTAACTTCTGTTAGAGTTTTAGATTGTCCTTCCAAATCATCTCTATTCCCATACAGGGCTCTACACTTAACAGTAGCCAACTAGCCACAGACTAGTTGAAGTCCAGTTTGGCTAGTGGTTTTCAAATGTGTTTATTACAATAGATTTAGTTACTTGTAGGTCCATTCACAGGAATCCCATGTCCTTGTGGCAAAACAATTTCATATGTGTTTATTATTATAATTTTTTTCTTTACTGGTCCAGTCACAGGAATCCCATGTCCTTGTGGCAAAACAATTTCATATGTGTTTATTATTATAATTTTTTTCTTTACTGGTCCAGTCACAGGAATCCCATGTCCCACCTTCTCCATCTGAGTGTGATAGTCAAGATAGTGGAGGTGACTTTGATTTCAAGTTAGATGGTGATGACGATGGATTTATTGATGACCTAGTCCAGGAACAGTCTAAAGAGGTACATGATAATATAATAGTTCTGTGATAATTTTCATGATAATTTAGCTGTGGAAATTCTACAAGGTGTCACTTTCTGTCCACTGTGTCCAGGTCAAATTGGAATTTGGAATGTTAGTTTTTGTGGAGAGAGGAAAACCTGATTACACAGGGTTTTAGCTAAGAATTTACCCTACTGGCTGAAATTTGTTGTGAGGTGGCTCAAAGGTTGTGAACAATTATGAACAACTGCCGGCCAAATATCCAGTTAGCAACCGCCACTTTTCATCTGGCGAACTTCGCCAACAGTCAGCACTTACCAATAACGCTGATTACCCAGAGAAAAATGCTTGGAGTAAGAAATGAGAACCAGTGATAAACTCAACCCACATGTGATTCCAGTACCAGGGATGGAACAAAGGCAACAACAAGGGGAGGCATGTGTTCTTGACACTACTGCACCATTACCCCACTTTCCAAGCATTTACAAAGTGTAAATTCATTAGGGGCCTTGATAATTTCTCCAGTGATCTCATGTCTTTAAACTTTACCTGAGTGAGCCTCTATTGTCAAAGTTTCCCAGGATTAAGATTCCAGGAACAAGTTTTGAGGGGCTTTGAACATGTGTTTGAACCATACTGTAGAATTATTTTGTGGTTGAAAGTAAATTCAATTAAAATTATGTCAACCTGGTTTGATATGTAGTCCAGATTTCAGGAATTTGAAACAGTCTTGTCTGGTTTTACCTTGTTCACAGGAAAATAGCTTAGAGGTTCCATCTGGAATTACAGAACTTGTTAGTGCACCATTATTGGCTAAAGAGGAGGTTTGTTATGTGAAAGTCTATGGGTCTGTTTTTTTTTCTTTTTTTCCTATTTTGTAACTTGTGCAATCTAGCCAGCAGAATAAAGTGGAATTACCTCTGTCAGTAATTTCATTGGGTTGAAAAAAGTTTTGTGGCCACTGTTGAAAAAGCTTCATTCTTTTCGTCAGGATTGATAATTCCTGCACTTTTTTTGTTGCTTATGTTATTGAAAAATTTGTGGTTTTTAAATACATCCTTATGACACCTGCTGCAAGACCAAATCTTGATAGGTATATTTCATGACAGATAAGGGCAAATTGGATTGCATGCCTCTTACCAATGTAAAGGTTACCTATAGAGTAAGTGTCTAATAAAATGTTTTTTTTATTGTCTTGACAGGAGGCGGGTGAAATAAGGGACCCCTCCAAAGATACACCAAAGGTATGAAATACTATTTTTCTACTGTGTTTTGTGAGTAGTTTTAAGAAATTTTATTGATAAGAATGGTTTCCTGTTCAGACTCCCATGGAACCTCTTCTTTGTTACCAGTCTTTGTCCAGTATGACCTCATCTTTTCTCTTCAAAGGTTTCAAACTTAGATAATTTTGACCAGATTTTGTTGATGGGGGGGAGGGGTGGGGGATTGAGACAAACAAGCACTTCAAAAGGGAGACTTTCCTAATTCTTCCTGGTCTCTTCAAGCAAGAGAATCCAATCCAACAGCTATGAAAGTCGTCTTGAATTAAAGACTAAATCTTAAAATACCTTGTACTAATTGTATCCAGACAGTAATTTCATTTTGTTCTCTGTGGTAGGCTTCAGAGCCAGGCTATAAACCAAGAGATTTGTTTGATGCTAGAAGAGATAGAGCTCACTCTGTTTCATCAGAGAGCCCAACAATAGAAAGATGTGCCATGAGACAGAGGTCAAAATCCTTTGCTCTGAAGGTACTATGTTACCCTTGTCAACTTAGTTAATTAATGGTCTACAATCCATGACAATTATTTCACACAAATTATGTTTGTGTAACCACTTTAAAAGGAAGTATTAAGAGATGGAGGCCATGTGTATTAGAATACTCCCTCTTTCCCATTTAGTGTTGTACAAACAGAGATAAAAAAGGGCAACATTCAGGGGTTTCATTAATGGCTGGGCACTGGGCAAATTGACCGGTTATGAGGACGGTTTTGCCCCCCTGATTTGATGATCTAGAGGAAAGTTTATCTTTTGAAGAAGTTAAGTTCAAAAAGTTTTGCACGCCTGTGAAAACCTGAGTTGCCCTCCTGCTGAAGACATTAATGAAACTGCTTAACATTGTACAAGGAGAGATACAGTAAGGACTGAAAGAAAAGGAATTTTGCCGCATGACAAAGACTTGCAGTTTAGCAGTTTAAACATTGTAATCTCCAATAATATTGAAAGTGACTTGACATGCACAGTTTGTAGTGAGACCAATGATTAAAACATTCATCAAACATATTATTTGTTCATCCATACAAATCTTTTGCCTTTTTTTGCTTATCTCTCAGAGACCTAACCCTCCAAGAGACCCAAGTCCTAATCTCAAGAAAAGACTAAGGTGTGTATTATCAACTGCTGGTTATATGATTTGTTAGTATATACTAAAAATGTGGATAGCGTTCAAGGCGCACTCTGATTGGCTTGTCAAACTCCGAATATCCTTTGCTATTTACCTCCAAGCAACTCGGGTAAAAATGGCATCCCCGTTTGCATCCGTGTTAAGTGAAGAAATCACTCAAATTAACGATGAAGCAGTCCCTGAAAACACAAAGAAAGCAACTAAATTTGGTTTGGCCGTGTTTAAAGGTAGTGGTGTAAGTTTTTAACCCGGAGTTTATCGATAAAAAGCAATGAGAAGGGTTTTGTTTACAAATGCAAATTAATCTTGTGTAACCTCACTTGTTCACTTC